AGCCCCGCGTCGGGCTCTGTGCTGACAGCTCGGAGCCTGGAGCCTGCTTCCCATTCTGTGTCTCCCTCTCTTCTCTGCCCCTCCCCTGCTAGTGCTCTGTGTCTCTCTGAAAAAAATAAGTAAAAATATTTTAAAAAATTAAAAACAAATCGATGTGTGTGTGTGTGTGTGCATGCTTGTGTCTGAGTGTGTCCTGGGTGGATGGGTGTCATGTGAATGTGGGGCGTTTTGAGTGTGTGCCACGTGGGTGCTGTGTGCACCTGTAAGGTCTGGCTTGTTTGTTACGCAGCAGTAGCTACACCCACTAAGAATCCATACACTTTCTACTTTGAGAAGTCAGTCAGTTCTACTGTGTGGGCAATGAAGGTATTGCAGTGACCGCTCTCTGAGCCATTCGTATATTTACGAACACTGTTGTTGTTGTGGCTTATTCTCCCGTAGAGCTGGCATCTTCTTGCCCAATGTGAAATTTTTAAAATGAAATCTGACTTATATTTTATTTTTTTAAATATTTTTTCCAAGTTTTTTTACTTTTATTTTTTTTGAGAGACAGACCAAGAGAATGAGCGAGAGAGGGGCAGAGAGAGAAGCAGAGAGAATGCTAAGCAGGCTCCTTACTGTCCGCTCGAAGCCAGACATGGGGCTCTAACTCATGAACCGTGAGATCATGACCTGAGCTGAAACCGAGAGTCGGAAGCTTAACTGCCTGAACCACCCAGATGCCCCTAAAACTGGTCTTTTAAATGTGAGCCTACCTTCCTCATTGACTAACTGGGTATTTGGTTATAATGAATCACATGGTCTTAAAAAGGAGCACGCAGCTTTCCACCAATAAGCTGTGTTTGCATTTACTAACAAGTTCTAGCTTATTAGTCCTGACTAGTAGGATGGGAGGGTGCATCTTCCCAGGAGAAAGCAACATTTTATGTGGTATCCTCCATGCATTAATTTTTTTTTTTTGGTATAAATATTAATCCCCCAGGAAAACACTGCCCCAGCCGTTCCGCCAGCAAAGGCCTGAGGTGGAAAACCACCACGTTCAGGCTCCTGGCTCAGTGCTATTCTTGTGTACAGCCGTGCCACCCCCTGGGTGCGCCGGGGCCAACGCTGCCCGCCGCAGAGACCTCTGGCGGAATGCACGATAGAAGCGTGGGGTTTGGCGTGCAGCTTGAATGTTAGTCGCTTTTGCTCTCCCTCTGCTCCGTACTGTGTAGCATCCTCCCAGAGTCAGGGATCAGGGAGGGTCAGGAATTATTGACCCTGGTAACCACAAGCAGGAGTCAGATGTCTTTGCTGGCTCTGCAGTGTTTGAAGGATTGAGAGCAGTGTAGGACGAGGAAGCGGGGATGATGGAACTGTCCCTATGTTTCGTGTGATAATGAAACCCAAGTGCAGAGTGGCCTCCTTTGCTGGCCCTCTCTCCGACTCTTACTGGAAATGCCTTGACCTTAAAATTGAGTGGTGGGACGCTGACCTCGGCTAGGTCAGGTGCGCACCCCGAGGGCTCTCCCTTTAGGGAGATGGGTTTTCAGCACACTTTGTGAGCCAGGCCTTTCAAGCTGGGCTCGTCAGCTTGAAATTCCATCTTGCAGGATTTATAGAGGTTGTGTTCTCAGATCTGCCGTATTTCAATTGGGTAAGTGGAATTCTACATCTTCAGAAACGGTTCCCTGCGTGGCACCTTTGCCAGAGCTGAGATACAGAGTTAAGAGCATGTTAGTGTCTTAGGCTCTTATTCTTGGGAGCTGGCCTGGCGTGACCCCACTGGCTACAGTGAGGTCGGGCTCCGAACCACAGCAATGGTGGTCTGGTCATTGAGGCATCTGGGGAGCTGAAGGAAGAGGGGCTTTGAAAGGAGACCTAGGTGTCAGCTAAGAGAGACCCTCTTAGCTTCTCTCCTTCCTCTCACTCACTGTCCCCTCCCCAAGATCACGTCAGCTCCCACCCAGTGACCACCTGCTGCTTCCCCCAAGAACCTGCTCTTTGCAAGTGATTACCTCCTGTCCTCTGCAGACTCCTCCAGGTAGCTCATATCACCCCATTATGCATGGTGGCAAACTGAGGCTTGGAGAAAGTGAGGGCACCTTCTAAGGTACACACTGCTTGAGCAAAAGCTAGATGAAGAAGACGGCTCCAGATTAGAGCCTCTCGGATCCCCTTCCTTATCTGCGTTATGCGGCAAGAAGCTTGGTCACAAATTTCTTCTTGGACAAAATCAGGCAACTTACATAAAATACTCTATGCAGCAGCAAGAATATAGTGGGTGCTCCATAAAAGTCACTTCCTTTCCCTTCCTCCAAATCACTGGTATCTAGATGATTTCATATCCTCAGAAAATTCAGCCTACCTTGAGTTGACCTTGAGTTTTCCTATGGCAAACCAAGACTTGGACTATTTTAATTTCCCACCCAACCCTCTTGTGGTTGGCCCTGCGGTCTCCTAGCTTGGAAAATTAGCATTCTGTCAAGTTGGGCTCAGCATCTGCTTGGCAACGACACCCGCTCCCTCTGCCTACCGTGCTTGGTAGAAGACACATCTGTCCTTGCCACCCCAGGCACCTCAGCACTGTAGAGGTGGTATTTATGCTAACAACGATAACGTCGTTTTCAGTTACTGTTATTAATCATTACGCATGTCAGGACATGTGCAAAGTGCTCCGTGTGGTAGACTCATTTAATCTGTCCATTAGCTGTGAGTTTTGTGCCGTTATCAGGGCTCACATTACAGATAAGGAGACGTTAAGGGACACAGGTAGAAAGCAGAAGAGCAGGGATTGTAGCCCCGTTGGCTGTGAGGCACATGCTCATCACTGGGACGCTGTTGCCTCCGTGGCACCGACAGATAAGCAAGGGCGGTAGACTAACCCGCCTTAGGATTAGGGTAACTGGGTTCAAGTCCCGTCCTTCCGGTGTGAGCCGAGTGACATTAAGTGTGTCTTCCTCTCTGTGTGTCTTTTCCTTTAAAGGAAACTCTGAGTGATGACATCCAGTGGGCACACTGTGGTCCTCATTGGTCAGATACTTGGGTCCCCCTTGTGGAAGCCCAGGCTCTCTGTGTTTGGCTGACGTGATCTCAAGCTGTTAATTTCTCTCTTGTTTTTCAGGTAATGAACCAAAAAGATCATGTCTGAAGTACAAGGAACGGTTGAGTTTTCTGTAGAGCTACATAAATTTTATAATGTGGATCTCTTTCAGAGAGGGTAAGTATGCGTCACTGTTTCTATTTGTGTGTGTGTGTGTGTGTGTGTGTGTGTGTACATATACAGTTGACCCCTGAACCACACGTGTTTAAACTGTGCAGGTCCATAGTACATGGATTTTTAAATACAAAATAGTATTGCGAATGTCACTTCTCTATCATTTTCTTAATAACATATTCTTTTCTCTAGCTTCCTTTCGTGTAGGAATATAGTATGTAATATAACATACAAAATACGTGTAGTTGACTATGTTGTCAGTTATCAGTAAGGCTTCTGGTCAACAGTAGACTGTTAGTAGTTAAGTTTTTGGAGAGTCAAAGTCCTTCATGATTTTTGACTGCGTGGAGGTGGGTGGGTGCCCTGGACCTCATTACCTCATTGTTGTTCAGGGTCGTTCGTGTGTGTGTGTGTGTGTGTGTGTGTGTGTGTGTTTAATTTTTTTTAACATTTATTCATCTTTGAGAGATGAGAGAGAGAGAGAGAGAGAGAGAGAGAGAGAGAGACAGAGCGTGATTAGGAGAGGGGCAAAGAGAGGGAGACACGGAATCCAAAGCAGGCTCCAGGCTCTGAGCTGTCAGCACAGAGCCTGACGTGGGGCTTGAACCCACGAACCATGAGATCATGACCTGAGCTGAAGTCAGACGCTTAATCGAGTGAGCCACTCAGGCGCCCCATGGGGTGTTTGTGTGTATTTTTCCTGGCAGGGAGTGGAGATGATAAGGGCAGGTTGTAGGGCATTTGGATTCATGAGGAAAGGATTTTCATTATTTTTCCTGTCAAGCGTAAAATCCAAATGTTTAGTGCAGTTGAAAATCACCCATATATTGACAGACACTTGAGAACGCGAATCTCTCCCCTCCCTCCTGCCCTTTCGTCTATCTTCTCTCCTCCGAGTTGCTATTTCCATTGCATACAGTAGTCAGTTTGAGGGGGAAGTGAATTTATGGGACATGAGGCTTGCTTGGGTAGCTCTGATGAGAAAAGGTGTCTGCACGACCAGCATGTGTGGGGCCATCTCCCAAAGTTGCGTATTGTAAAACCTGTGCCTCCATTTCTCACAGACTGAAAATGTATGATGTCCTCTGTAAGTACAGAAGTAGAACGTAGTCGCTTGCAGTGTTTGAGGACATACTCTGATTTTGGCGTTTCACACGCATGATCGCATTAGGTCGTCACGATAGACTTACCTCTCAGGGTCACTGCAAATAATAATAAGGTGAAATGCTTACGTAAAGCATCCAGACCCGGACCAGGGCCGTGTACTCACGGTGACTGCTACTACTTTCCTTGTGTTGCAGACCAGGGGGCCTAAGTTCATAGTAACTGAGTTTGTGATGTGTTCAGGTTAACAGAGCCAAACAGGAGGCATCTATGTTGTGGAAAACCACCTCCGTGCTTCGGAGCCAAAATATAACTCGAAGACAGCGTTTGGGTTAAGGAGGAACAATAGCTTTATTGCTTTGCTGGGAAAAGGAGGCTGAAGCAGGCTATGGCCTTCAAAAACTTGCAAGTCTTCCCAGAGGACAGGGCTGGAGTGTTTTATAGGGACATACAGGATCTAGCCGGTTTCGATAGGAATGGAGTATGTGCTGCCAGCCTCCTTAGTCCTTGGTCTTTTTCAGGGATGGTACCACATTCCTGAAACCAAAGAAGGGAGGAGGGGAGGCTTGCGGAAAAAAGGAAAAGGTTACTTTAAAAATCAAGATTTGCCCAAGCATTAGTGCAGCCGTTGTGATTTTTGTTCAACTTTATGTTTTTAAGCGGTTCCATCTAAACATTTGTTTTTGCTCTGTAACCAACCACCTTAAACCTTAGTGGCTTAAAACAACAGCTTTCGATGTAGCTCATGTATCTCAGGGAGGGCAGGAGATGGGAGCCAAGCTCCAGTCGGGAAAGTTCTACCAAGCTGGAGCAGGTTGTAGGGTATTCTGGATTAATGAGGAAAGGATTTTCATTATTTGTCTCACCAAGTGGAAAATCCAAATGCTGGAGGCAGCAGGCGAGCCGGGCTTGTCTACCTGGCAGGTAAGTCCTCCGAGCAGGAGTGGAAAGACACACAGCCTCCTGCCAGCTGTCCTCAGGCTTGCACGGGGTGGTTTCTACCCTGCACAGGTGGCCTTCTGCTGGCCAAAGCCAAGTGCAAGAACGATCTGGGTTCAGGGTAGAGAAACAGAGACAGTCTCTTGATGGAAGGGGACCAATCTGTGACACTTTGACAATCTTGCCACCCAAGGTTAGTTTCCAGGTTCAAAAGGAGGCTGAAATTAATGCTTCAAGTGCCTCTTATATGTTATGGCCCCTTCTTACATAAGGTAAAATTCGGTGGCCGAGCCGTTTTGGTAGGTGACCTGAATCAGATGGTGAGGGGAAAAGGAAACGATCCTGGGACCAGTTCTGTTCCAGGGACAGGGGCGCCGAGGAGTTCTGGAGCTGGATTTTTGAGGGAGCAAAACTCTGCCTCCTCTGGAAACCCGTCACTGTGGGTCAAGCTCATCGCCCTCCTCACTTGGTCAGAAGTTGTGTGGTGGAGTGAGAAGGGTCTGGGTTTGGGGCCGGACCTCCCGAGTCCCAGCTTGGTTACTGCTTCTTGGAGCTCCTCTGGCGTGTCCTTCCACTCTACCTTTCAGATTCTACATTTACGAGAAGGGAAGCATTTCTGATAATGTCATGTGTCTATCATAGTGTGAGGCACTTCTATTCAATATCTCCTAAATCCTCATAACCAACCAGAGAATGAGTGATATTATCTTTATTTTGACCGACAGGTAACTGGGATCAGGGCAGTGAAATGCTACACACCTGTAACGTAGCAGAGTGGAGCTCTGGGGCTGAATTGCTCGGGGTCTGATAAATGAGCCTGGTCTCCAAAGTGGGCTGCCTTCTCCCCAGGGCTGCACAAAATATCCACCAAGATGTGGGCAGAAAATACTAACACTTCTGCTTACGATGGTTTTAATCAAAACTAAGAGAGAAATCAAGCTTCGCTAATAATTAGAATCCACACTGATCCTGGAAACCTTGTTGTGTCCACACGGCACACAGTGATGAATCCCACTTAGTAGCTCCAGCATCAAATAAAAGAGGGCTGTCCCACAGCACACATGAGCTGACGGCCTCACCCTCGCAGTGCAAAATCCTGCAGTTTGTGACTGGGCAGTTACCCGCACCCGTAAATTGTTTTCTACCTTTAACTGCACCAACCGTCACAGACTAGCAAGTGGCTTCAGAACAGATACCGTAAGGCCGTCATGAATTGAAGGTGGCATTAATAATTAAAGCATAGCAAACAGCAGGAATGACAGAACCACACTGGTCCTCTCTTGCACAAGCCTGGTCACACACACACGGAGATGGAGTGACAGGCTGATCAGATGCCCAAATTAGCAGACTGAGAAATTTGAACTCATTTAAAACAACGATCTGATATATGGCTTTGTCACCATAATTATTCATAATGCACCTTGTCCTGATTGTATTCTGGGCCTTCAGGCATTGACGAGGTCTTGTATGAGATCATATCCATTAGCAAGACATTTCTAGGGACACATCCAGAACTCAAAGAGGGCCCCGTGCAGTTGGTTAAGGGGGTTACAAGACGAGCGTGGAAACCATGACACTCTCTCAGCAAGCCTAAGATCCTCTAGATCCGTGTGTTTTGGGGAGTCATTTTGCATAACCCTGCGCTCACCACCAAAGTCTGATATTTAATCAGGCTAAATTAAAATCCGAACATTGAATCACTGCACTATGTATATTTTTAGTAAGAGCAAAAAGGTTATGTGTTCCTTTAATATAAAAGTAATTGATTTTTAAAACATGGATTATTACATTCCTTCTCTGATCTTTTCAAAGACCTTTTTCTATACTTACAATGCACATCGCATAGGAGTATACAACTGTACGTGCATGTGATTATAAATAAATGTACATATAGTGGGGTTGCACGCTTGAAGACGTTTCTACTTTATGAAATCATTGGCACTTGGTGGCCACTGGTCTAGTGGGACAAGGGATCTCACAGATTTCCTCCAGCTCCTCATGCTAGCACTCTGTGGTGTTGGATGTTGATGTGGATGAGGGTATTATCTTGTGACTGAACATGCTTGAGGGTGGGCTTCATAGCAGCTATGGCCGTGGACAGGTTGGGACGTCCATGGGTGGCCGTGGACAGGCTGGGACGTCATTGGATGAAGCAGTCAGACCTCTTACAGGGATGGAGTGGGTTCTAAGATCTCTAGGGCCCCATCAGCAATAAGACCTTGACATTAAGAGCCCCCAGTCCCCTAAGCCCAGTCTGCAGGGAGTCGCGGATGGGCTAGGCGTGGTGCCAGCCAGGATTCTGCATCTGCCAGAGGGGATCCTGACAGGCGCGGTCGGTGGTGCTCAATCACTAAGGATTTTCCTGCCCTGAATCCTGCAGGAGCTGTGCTCACAGTGAGATGTAGTTACCTTACCGGCAAGCACTCCATGGGGGAGTGATGACCGCCATCCAAGCCTAGTGGGCAAGTTGCCCACCGCATGAAAGAAAACGGAGGATTTTCACAGGCCATTCAAGGAAAAGAAGTCAGCATCTGGGGAGGCTGGCCCATTTTGGGGGTGTGAGGATGTGCCTCAAGACTCTCCAGGAGGTAGAAATTAGAGTTGGGGGTTGCAGAAGAAGGAGTGTGCCCTTAGACTGAATTTGACTGTGGCCGCCCAAGTTACAACTGTTTCTCCAGTTGATGAGAAATGCCTCTTGTACCTCCATCACTGCCCATTGTGAGATGCTGGACCAGAACCACGTGGATGCAGAACTGAGCATATTGCTCGAGATTTTGCCCCGATCGGGAATTATTTGTTTGTAGCACATTTACGTTTGTGGATGGTTTTTCTAGTCCCGGAATGCATGTTGCCTTTGGGTGATGTTTGCTTTGAGCAAACAGTCAGCTTGCATTTATCCAAAGTCTACATTGACTGAAGAAAATTCCCAAAGGAAAAGCCTCTCCTGAAACCGGTCAACA